AATAAAAAATAATCTGAACAACTCTGCCCCTGAAATGTATTCTATGTATTGCATGTGTTACCTACTTAAAAACTCACTCAAGGAGCTCGAACTGTGAGGTGTGAGTATGTATGTATGTCCTGAACATTTATTCAGGTTTACTTTATTAAAGACTCCGTAAACAGGGGCTACAAGTACAAATAACGTGATTATGGGGAAGAAATGAGCATACTTAATACACTCTACTTAGAAAATAAATTATTTCCCTGCATACTACATTATAAGGAAAAATATACATTCTTCATCCATAGCATACATGGAATGCTGTTACAAGTTTGGTAACAAGTGAGTGCCTCATTATTTAAATCAAATCACAAAAAGCAACTCTGTGATTCACTCTCCAGTAAGAAATAAAAATATTATTATTGTACTTTTCTGTAAAGTTCTATTTTTTCCTTTCTTGAGTAATTTTCCATTCAACTGCATTCTGGGTCTTTTGCACTATAATACTAACATTCCAGTTAAAGTTTCTGATAAAGGAATAAGATCAGAAGCTACCCCTTAATATGCTAAAAAAATTACTTGCACCAGTTTTTCAAAAATAGTTAATGATTTGGAATCTGACTCTTAATAATATGTATCTACTTTTTAACTCAAGAACAATCTGTATTCCCAATTCTAAGAAAACAACATCTTTTATTACCAACTTAATAACTGTTGCCTTATCAATATTTATCCAAGGCAGTAATAAATCTTATAGCTGAATTTTTAAACATAAAATTCTCCAAAACAGATAATATAAAAAACTGTTGTTATTTTGAATTAATTTTTTATTCCAAAATTAAACTCTCAAATGACTTAATGCAGAATGGTAAAATTTATGGGAGATTTATGATGTAATCCCACTATGTGCCTTAATGCAACAGATACTTTCTTTTAAAAACAGTGGAATTTTCTTTAAACAAAAAAGATAACTTTAATACTCATCAGTAGGTCTCTGAAAAACCAGTATAACTAAATTTTGACAAGATTGTTTGGAAACTAGTTTTAATTTCTTTTTCATTGTTAAACTTAGATGTAATAATTGATTCTTATAGTCTACAATAGAAGATATTGAGTGTTTTTTTTTTAGGTGGCAAATATAAAATGGTTAATTGTAACCAGCCTGGTAACAAGTTGACCCATGCATTAAATGGCAACATAAGTAGAATACATAGATGGAAAATGAGGATCAGACACATTCTTCTGCAGACATCAAAAGAGGATTGATATACTCAAAACCTTCAAATTCAGACTGATCAATCTTCCTCACAATGTCACTGTTGAAAGAAAAATAAGTTTATTTTCATCATAATCAAGATTTCCTCAACCTTTAATTTAAATGGTAAAATAAGATTAAACAGCAAAAAATGAGGCTAATTATATACATTGTGAAAAAAATCTAAAAGTTCTTATATTAATTCCACAAATTTTCTCGAAGAATCAAGAATAGGGAGTATTGAAAATCAAAAAAGACTAATAATCCCACAAGCAAGTTTAGAGCCAAAAAGCGTAGTTTAAAACTGAAGACTGGGAATAAAAAAGGCACAAATTGTCCCAAATCCAGTTCATCTTAACTTTTGACCTGAATAACATTCTTAATTATAAGTGAACATCCAGGTCTGAATTAGCATTCGATTTAGTAGTCACCTCAACAGCCAGATGGAAGATGGTGAAGAGAAGGCCCAGAAGTTAGCCAAAAGGAAAAGGCAATAGGAACAAGTACACTGAGAGACCTGGAATAAGGAGAGAACACCACAGGGAGATAACAGGTCACAGAGAGTGGAGAGGCTGGCATTCCATTATACTGGGCTTCTAGTTTAATACATGGTAAGAGTGAGCAGTACTATCAAATATTATAATACATAAACGTATACGCCGTACTGTGGAGCACAAAGAGACAGAGTATTATAGTCCCTTCCTTCAAGGAGGGGAGGTAACTCATTACACTGGAAAGCTACAAGAGAAAACAATACCTGCTAAATTTTATACATGATAAGCTAAGTCCTTTTCTAACCACAGTTCTAAAGAAAGGCGTGATTCCTAGTTGGAGAAATCAAGGAAGGAGTCGGCACTCATTCTACAAACACTTAATGAATGGAATTATGAAAGACTGTGGTAGGTCTGGGGAAATGCGTGTAATCTGTTAGGGGTGGAGCACAGGAACAGAAAGGTGTTAAATGGCAGACGATGCTGGAAGGAAGATGATGGCTAGATCGAAGAAGCTTCACCTTGATTCATCAAAGATCTGGCTGCATTTGAGGTGGCGCTGAAAGATGGGAAGATTTCAATAGGTAAAAATGAAGGAATGAGCAGGCAGAGGCAGAAAGATAATGACACTCACTGTCAGGGAATGGTGAACAGCCGAGCCTGATCAGAACACTGTTTGTGTTACAGTGAGAGAGACATGGTTAGAAAGTCCAGCTGAAGCTGATGGGGGAGGCCTCAAATGCTAGCCAAGAGGATAGATGTTATCTGACAGGCAATGCAGGAGTAACTGAGGGTTTCTGATTAAAGGGGATAAAGAATTGGAGTGGTACTTCATGACGTGTACAGAATAGGCTGCAAAGGAGGGAAGGAGATGAATCAGGAGGCTGATACAATACTCTAGGTATGATGTGAATGAGATCTGAACTAGGGTTATGGCAATGGGAAGAGAAAAGAAGGATTTGATGCAAATGATGAAGTAAAGAAAAATTTAGACAAAGACTTGGCAACTGCAGGTATTTACAATCACTGGCATTTTGAATCTGAATGACAGGAATACGTGGTGGTACAATGAGCAGACACAGGTAAACAAAAACAAGGAAATGATTGAGAACAACAGAAAAAGAGACCATAAATGGTCACTACTTTTAGACTTCATACACTTGAGGTGCTTGTCTGACAAACTGGGGGAGGTGTTAAACACATAGCAATGAAGCTCAGGAGAGATATCAGGGCAGGGGCTAAGTGCTTCAGAAACCATCACTCATTTATTCTCCACAGCAACCTTATGAGGTAGGCAATATGAGAAGGAATAGGCTCAGAGAAGTTATGCAATTCATTACAAGGTTACCCAGTTGGTAAGAGGTAGCATCGGGATTCAAACTCTAATCTTTTGATTAAATCCAGTGTTCTTTCTAATACATGATGCTGTCAGAAATAACGATTTGGTACACATCTTTCTTCTCTAGTAGCAGTGTGCTTTTTTGGGAGATTGGACTGTCTTGATTGTTTTGAAATGTCTAGTCTAGAAGGCACTCAGCATAGTGCCTTCTGCTCAATAACTATGTGCCAATTTAGTTGAGAGTCATTTAAATAGCTAGTATCCATGCTACAGGGCTGAATGAACTCTTCGAGGTACAAACTGTAAATAGCAAAAAGAAGGCTGTCATGAACAGAACCATGAACTATCCTGGTCTCAAGGGGACAGGGAAAACAAATGACAGATAAGTGGTCATAGAGATGAAGCAGAACCAGGATAGGCTACCTAAGGCAAGGTCATCAGTGCCAAAAGCTTTACAGACATTAGGGAAGATGAGGACTGACCAAAAAATGCTTTATAATTTAGAAATTAAGAAATCAATTCAACCTTCAAAAGCTGAAAAAGCAGGTTAAATTGTGAGGGGTTAAAGAATTGGCAGTAAAAAACCATGAGACAATCAATGCTGACTATTCTGAAAGAGTCTGATAAAGATATTGCTTATTTGCTTTTTTTTTTTATCATGAGCATCTATTAACTTTTTTTAAGTTTGAAGATGAAATGAAAATAAGAAAAAAAATGTGGTGGTTTAAAAAGGGGCTAAGAGAGGGGAAAAGTCAGGATATCTGAGCATGTTTGTAGACAAAAGGAAAGAAGCTGGAAAAATATTAATAAATCAAAGAAGGTAAAGTAATGAGAGAAATGACAAAATGAAATCCAGGAGGAAACTAAGGAAACAGGTCTAGGAAAATAGGAGGGGCACCCCTTTTAAAGAGGAGAGGCTTCCAAGAGTAGGAATAAGAAAAGGTTGAGAAGAGTTAGAAAGCAATCCTGAGATGCAAGGTGTTCTGCTGATAGCTATAAAGCAACCTCATACAAAAGAGGTCTCAATCCTTGCAGTTGGATTAAGGTAAGGTTAATTCATTAAGAGTGATAGAGACAGGGGTAGGATTGAAGGCTTCTAAAATTTAGATACCATTTGAAACAGATGCTGTTGAGGAATGTGATAAGAAAGAATTAAGATATAAGCAAAATGACTGCCAAACAATAAGGGCCTCCTTGACATGAGAGAGAATGACTCTGTAATGATAGATTAATGATCAAAATATCTCCAAATTATTTATCTTTAAAAGATGCAGTATAAGCACAAAAAATATTTGAGATCACTGCTGGCTGGATTTGCTAATTTGATGTAGTCTATTTAAAAAAGTAATTCGACAATACATATCAAGATCCTTAAAATTTTCATACCCTCTGACCTAATTCCCTTTCTAGGAATCTATCTTAAGGTAATACTCAGGAACTCGGACAAAGATGGTCATCATCAAAGTGGGAAACAGAGCAGCACAGTGGAAAGAGCACAGGCCTTAGTCAGTCAGATTTGGGTTTGAATCCTGACTCTGCCACCTGATAGCTGTGTAACTTTGCTTAACCTCTCTGAGTCTCGGTTTCCTCATCTGTAAAATGAAGATGACAATAACTAGTTTACAAGGTTGTTGTGAGAATTAGATAATGCACATAAAGCAAAGTAGAAAATAATGGCAGTTATTGTTAAAACTTTTAATAGTATAATGGTTTCAAACAGCCAGTAACTGAATGGTTACATAAATTATAGTATAATCTGAAAATGAAACATTTTATAGAGACTAAAAATGGAGTTTTCAAACAAATTTAAAAATATTTCAGTGTATAGAACTACTTACTCGTCATCTGGAGTGAGCTGGACAGGTTCATTCGTAAACTGAGAATCAAAGTTGTCTAAACCAAATTCCCCAGAAATATTTGGTTTAAAGGGAGGTACCACCTGCTTCTGTTCCATCTAAAAAGACATATTCAGATAACAGCTCAAGCCCGTATTCTTAGAAAAATTCTACCTCTACATTTCTCCTCTGCCCTCAGATGTTTCTCTGTCTTATTAAAGTGAGTTCCTAGGAATGGTCCTACAATATTAACAATGATGAACATAATTTATAAATCCGAATATTGATATGGGCCTCAATAATATTGCAATCTGCTCTATAGCATCGATATTCTATTACTTTGTTTTTTACAAAGCACTCTAGAGAGTAGTTTTAAGTTATTTAAGCTGTGATATGCTAGTTTTTTAAGACAATAAAATTTGGCCCAAGAAAGTAAATGGAAGCCTAATACAGAAAGCAATCAAAATTTACATACCATGTCCCAATCAACGTTTCGGAAGAATGGGTGTCCCTGAATGTCAGCAAATCCTGTTTGAGGATGACAACCCAGTCGTTCCTTTGGGTCCTATAGTGAAAGAAATGTTTCAAGAATTGGGTGACTGTCATGCTTTAAAATAAACCAGCTTTGTAACCAGTGTCTTGTACCTATTACATGATACCTTTATTTCTGAAGTTGTAATGTTCTACCTTTTATTTCTGTTCTACCTTTTATTTCTAGACCAAACTGAGTTATTAGAAGCTTGTGACAGGTAAGATTTCCTCATGGCTCTTTCTCCACCTATCATGTAATTAAAATGGGCAGCTCGGGCAAGGTGGCTCACGCCTGTAATCCTGGCACTCTGGGAGGCTGAGGCGGGAGGACTGCTTGAGGTCGGGAGTTCAAGACCAGCCTGAGCAAGAGCGAGACCCTGTCTCTACTAAAAACAGAAAGAAATTAGCTGGACAACTAAAAATATATGGAAAAAATTAGCCGGGCATGGTGGCGCATGCCTGTAGTCCCAGCTACTCGAGAGGCTGAGGCAGAAGGATGGCTTGAGCCCAGCAGTTTGAGGTTGCTGTGAGCTACGCTGATGCCACAGCACTCTAGCCCAGGCAACAGAGTGAGACTCTGTCTCAAAATAAATAAATAAATAAATAAATAAAATGGGCAATCATCACCACTCCCTGCTACAGAAAAATGAGATGAAAAAGAGAGAACAGCAGAATCACTTGAGCAGCACCCAGCTATTTCTTTGGCATGGGCTAGAGTGATAGTCAAAACATGTAAAGCTGTAAACTTCACCACAAGTTTGTTCTTAGCTGAATTTATTAATAAAAGCCCTATTCCCTAATTATAGCAACAAACCGCAATCTGTGTAAGACAATGATACAACAGTTATCTGAATCACTGGACTGAGAAGGAGCTTGCAATTTATAAAAAAAAGTCTTGGCTTAGTCATTACTACAAATGAGAACATGTTCCCATTTTTCTTTCTTATAAAAGGCATTTTATTTTGCATATTAACACCTCTTGCCTTCATTTTTCACTATGTGAATGATTAGATTTCAAGCTTAAATCTTTCCTCACATATTCATTTAAAACAAGCTTCAATTTCTTATTTTATTGTGATTCATCATTACCTTACCTATTTATCTTAGAAAGTAAATGCACACCAACCTTTCCATCCTGTCATTTATTTAAAGTAGAATTAACGATTACAACAATCACAGCTTAGATCCTAAAACTCTTCTAAGCCTACCAACTGCAACAAACAATTGAATAATGTTCAGATTTTTAAGAGCCAAAGATAGCATTTCATCTCTTCTGAATTTTATCTAATTCCAGCTTTTTGTTGACATGAGAAACTTGTAGGAAACACTACTGCCCAAGTGCTCGAAAACTACATGGTATAAATAGATTCTATGGAAAACGACACAGAGAAAATTGAAAAATAGAGTTGAAAGTACAATTGTGGCTAACCCCAAAGATTCAATTTCCCCTAATGGAGAAGATGATATATATCGTTTACATTAAAAACATTGTATGTAATATAAAGGTGGTGAGTAAATTATATTGGCAAAAGGGAAAGAACAACTCATCTCCTGATTTAATGCTGTAATTTTTTTTTTTTTAGATTTATAAAAATTGCTTTTTCTTTTATCATTTCATCTACATAATTACATTTCTCTAGCACTTCGGCACTTTTTCATTGTAACTTACAATAGCATTCTCTCTTTTTTTAATTTCAGAATATTACAGGGGTACAAACATTTTGGTTACATGAATTGTTTTTGTACAGTTTGAGTCAAAATTATAAGTGTGTCCATCATCCACACAGTGTGCACTGTACCCATTAGGTGTGAATTTATCCCTGTCCTCCCACCCCTCCCACCTGCTTATTTCCATTGAATTTTAATACCATATGTGCATAAGTGTTGATCTATAAGTTTCAATTTAGTAGTGAGTACGTATGGTTTTTGCTCTTCCATTCTTGTGATATTTTACTTAAAAGGATGGTCTCCAGCTCCATCCAGGTTGCTACAAAAGGTATTAATTCACCATTTTTTTTATGACTGAGTAAGACTCCACAGTATATATATACCACATTTTATTGATCCACTCATGGATCAGCAGAATCGACATTGTTAAAATGTTTATACTATACTACCCAAAGTGATTTACAGATTCAACGCAATCCCCATTAAAGTACCAATGTCATTTTTTGCAGGTCTAGAAAAAATAATTCTACACTTTGTATGGAACCAGAAATGACCCCAATCTAAGCAACTTCAAGCAAAAAAGAACAAATTGGGAGGCATCACTTTACCAGACTTTAAGCTATACTACAAGGCTATAGTAACCAAAACAGCATGGTACTGGCACAAAATATAAAACCGTCATCATATTACCAACTGATCTTTGACGAAAAGCAGACAAAAACATACACTGTGGAAAAGAATCCCTATTCAATAAATGGTGCTGGGAAAATTGGATAGCAACATGTAGAAGACTGAAACAGGATCTGCACCTCTCACCACTCACAAAAATTAATTCATGATGGATAACAGACTAAGGCATGAAACTATAAGAATTCTACAAGAAGAGATCGGAAAAATTCTTATAGACATTGGCCTAGGTGAAGAATTTATGAAGAAGACCCCAAAGGCAATCACAGCAACAACAAAAATAAATAAATGGGACCTGATTAAATTAAAAAGCTTCTGCACAGCCAAGGAAACAATCAATAGAGCGAATAGACAACTTACAGATGGGAGAAAATTTTTGCATGCTATACATCCAATAATCAAATCTATAAAGAACTCAAGCAAATCAGCAAGAAAACATCAAACAACCCCATTAAAAAGTGGGCGAAAGACATAAACAGAAGCTTTTCAAAAGAAAATAGACTAACGGCCAATAAGCATATGAATCAGTGCTCAACACCTCTAATCATCAGGGAAATGCAAATGAAAACCACAATGAGGTATCACCTAACTCCAGTGAGAATGGCTTTTATCAAAAAGTCCCAAAATAACACATGCTGGCGCAGATACAGAGAGAAAGGAACATTTATACACTGTTGGTGGGACTGCAAACTAGTACAACCTCTATGGAAAGTAGTATGGCGATACCTCAAAGAACTAAAAGTAGACCTACCTTTTGATCCAGCAATCCCACTACTGGGTATTTACCCGCAGGGAAAAAAGATATCCTAAAAAAAGACACTCGCACTTGAATGTTTATAGCAGCACAATTCACAACTGCAAAGATGCGGAAAGAACCCAAGTACCCATCAATACGTGAGTTCTAGAACTCATGTTTAGAACATTAGTTTAGAACTTTAGAAAAATTCAAGATCAAATTGATAAAGTGACATACTGTGCCGTTTTACTTTGCCTGAATCTCTACTTGCCAGTTTGATTTATATAGAGACAAATCACAAAAGATTTTTAGACACGATTTATACCTTGTTGAGAAAACTCTTCAGGACACTTGCAGCTTTTACAGACAGAGAACGTGGTATGCGAATTTGTTTTTCCAAAATAACTAGAAAGATAAAAATTATGACATTACATTTAACTTTTATATGGCTTTAATATTTAAAATTTTATAATGATATATTTAAGGCATTAGAGCAGAAAAAAAATTAGATTTATATATACAACAGAACCATCTCATGTTCTTGCCCAATTCCCTTCCTTTCCCTCCTTTTCAGAGATAGCCTCTAATCTGAACATTGCATTTATCATTCACACGCATCTTTTATTCTCTGACTACCTTATTGTGCTTGTTTCCTCATCTGCCAAATAGGAATAAAAATAATACCTGCTTCATGATTGTTATAAGGTTTAAAGGATTATTATTTATAAAATGCTTGGCATACATAATATCAATGTTATTGAAAATTGCCAAATTATTCTCTAAAGCTGTTGTGTCAATTTTCATTCCTAGCAGCAATCTATGAGAGTTTATTGCTCCACATCCTTACCAGTCCTGGTATTATCACTTTTTTTGTTATTTGTATTGGTATGAAATTTTTGTCAAATGAATCGACATGAAACAATAGCTCATTAATGTTTTAATGTGCATTCCCCTAATTACTAGTGAGACTGAATATCTTTTCACATATTCCATGGCCATTTGGGTTTCTTATTATATGAAATGGCTATTCATATTCTGTGATGGCTTTAATTATTAAATGTAGAATTTTACGGCAGTTTTCATACTTGTTTGGATTATGTGCTAGAAGTCCCAGTGCTTGTCTGCTTGTTTCTGTCAATTTTTTGTATTCCCCAACATGGGTCCTTTTTTTCCTATCCTTTGATCCCTCTTGTATTCTTGGCATTCTACTTTTCACCCACACTGTCTTGAACTTATGCACTCAGCATCAGGTCCATGTGTAAAGACTATCCTCTCTAGCCACAGGATTCGTCCTCCAATTTCTGTGATATTACTATATAATCTAAAGGAACCTCTTTGTTATGACTTTGAGTATGAGAAGGTAACTGCAAACAGCACTGAAGACTAGAGAGGAGAAAGGATGCATCCAAAAAAAAAAAAGCAAGGCTGGGTATAGTGGCTCACGCCTGTAATCCCAGACTTTGGGAGGCCAAGGCAGGAAAATCCCTTGAGCCCAGAAGTTCAAGACCAGCCTGGGCAACAGTGAGACCCCCAACTCGACAAAAAATAAGAAAATCAGCAAGGTGTGGTAGTGTACACCTGTAGTTCTAGCTACTTGGGAGGCTGAGGCAGGAGGATCACTTGAGCCCAGGAGCTCAAGTCTGTGGTGTATGATCCTGGCATTGCACTCCAGCCTAGGTGACAAAGCAAGACTCTATCTCAAAAAAAAAAAAAACAACAAAACCGCATACATTATGTCAAGAGTACATTATCCAGATTATTCTCATTTTTCTTACTCAAAGTAATACCTTGAATCACCCTCATTTGTACTCTGAAATAGGTTATTCACAGAGAATCTCTATAAAATATTGCAAATTACCTTGGAAGAGATAATCTTCTGTGTTCTGATCAGGGTTATCAGAGCTCCCAACAATATCAAATGGAGACCTCCCTGCCATCATCTCAAACATCAGTAC